GAGTGAAAGTGTGCTCCCGTGACTCAGTGCAGCCCCAAAGCACGCTCTCTTGTTTATCTCCACGCCAGTTGGCTTGTAGTGTCACGTGAGCCCCGCGGAGCTATTTGGAAAATCAGGTGGTAGCTCTAAGCAGTAGATTTTTGGGTTTTTGGCACGTAGTTCACCCCCCCTCGCACTCCGAACCACGCCAACCTTGGTCTGTTGTCCTCTGAAAGGTGTGTGCTCTGGTTTTCGGTTAGCTTCTCCCAGTGTTTGCCTTCACTCTTTATTACAATACATTCTGTAGAAAATATTTTCCTTGGGAGAGTATTTGCTGATCTTTACCCATCTTTCATAGCACCTGAGTACACACAGTTAATGAAAGACAGCATCGTAAAGAGCACAGCTTGAGAGCTGATCTTCAACTGCTCTCTCTGACTTCATGGGTGACCTTGAGTAGATTGGCTGGGCCATGGCATTTCTTGGAGCTCACAGTGTGACTTGGTGGGAGCTGCAGGTGGATAGGTCACTGCAGAAAGGGATTTTGCATCTTCCTGTTTCTAAAGTATCATCTTTGAGATCTGCAAGGAAACAAATACATCCTAGGGGTGACGTTTCTCTCACGTAGCACAACAGAAACTCTTTAGGTAGTACCATTAACAGAGGAGTGAAATGTTTTTCTCATCCTTTGGCCCTTTAACCGTCTGCCCGTTTAGCTATCTCATGTAATGAACAGAAATTGCAGAACTGACCTCCTTGTGTTTTCATCCAGAGTAGTCACAGTTTTGTTTTTCACAGAGTAAGACAGAAATTTTGGGGTTATTTACAAAGATAACAGTGCTCCCATGGGATACTGACTTCACTGAGTGTTAGCATAATCAGCTCAGCTGATGATGACTAGCAGGAATAGTGCTGTCGCTCAAGGAACATGGTACTAGTAGAAGCAAACTTATAGTTGAGACAGAAGATCGGTTGCCCTGACGTGTTTTGTTGCCCTGACATGTTTTGTGTAGTGGAGATTAGTGGTGAAGTTCATGTGCAAAAGCCAGGGATTCCTGGAGTCCTCTGTCTTCCCTGAGATACCGAAATTAGGCTCAGAAGGTTAGAAACAGGTAACTGCTTTGTCCAACAATCTTGTAGTGTCTAGAAGAATGGTACAGGTGCTCATTGAATGATCTGCTTTTCAACGTGGCAGCCTGGTTCCATTTCTGGTCAGACTCTGAGGTTCACTCCAGGGTTGCTGCAATCGTAAAGGTCTAGCATTAGAGGTAAACATTTGAATTTTGTGTACATGTATGTGCAATCTCATTTCCGTAAGCATAAATGTCAAAAACGTCCTTCTTTCTGGACCAGGTTCCCAGAACACAGGCCGAAGTTCACCACCTCCTGGGTACGTTCCAGAGAGGCAACAGCGCATTGCTCGGCAGGGCTCCTACACCAGCATAAATAGTGAAGGCGAATTCATCCCAGAAACCAATGAACAGTGTGTAAGTATGAGCTTCAGGGTGGAAAAAAAAAGTAAGTCCATCTGTTAAGGAACTCACTGCTGCTCTTGTGGCCCTCTTTTGCACTCCAGAATATTCACTAGCTGTGGTTGCATTAGCACCGTGTTCATTTAAACTATGCTGCAAACGTGTCTGTAGCTGTGCAAGGTCAAAGCATCTGCTGGACTGCCAGAAGCAGTTGCCGTGTGTGGTGGGCATTGTCTCTCCACCTCTGAATGAGCAGTTTTGGTGTGCGTTACACACATATGCTCAGGTTTCCTACTACCGGGTTCACATGACCCTCTTGCGTTTGAAGCTGCGCTCCCCATTCAGAGTGTAGGAAGTAAGGCCAGAGGGCAACGCGCAGGTGGAGGCAGCAGTGCAGCAGCGCCAGCAGAGCCTGTTCCTGACGTCACTTGGGATCAAAATGCAGCACAAGCCTGACTTAAACTTTCATTTTCACAGCAGTGCTTCCACACCTAAAGCAATGGCTCAAATGTTTTATGTCCTTAACAATTTCTTTGTAAAATAAAGGCAAAAAGTACATTCTAAATAGCTTTAGACTCCCCATTTCATCTGGGCATCCTCTGGGCAAGCAGTACTGGACTGTGATCCTCTTGCACAGCCTCTTTCAGGCATTAGATGGAACTGATGTTACCATGTGACTTCTTCTGTGTTGCAGATGCTGGACCCTTTAAGCAGCGCTGAAAACTCGGTGTCAGGAAGCTGTCAGTCCTTGGACAGGTCAGCAGATGTACAAGTTGGTAGGAACTTATGCGCTGAGATCAAAATGCCAGTTGTACTTATGTAAAAGGCTGTTTTCCATCTCATAAATTTTCTTGGAGAGAAATAAGAACTTATTTCCTACCTGTATCCCAATATATTTCTTAGAGAGAATTAACTATGTCTTCAGACTGGTTTATTTTCTGGCAAAACCATACACTGACAAACTGGTGCTTCAGTAGCTCTGTGTTACAAATACGAGGTTCTAAAGTGTGCAGTCTCTGTGGAGCCTAGACTCGCAAGAACATCTGGCTGCAGGGTATTCAGATCTCTTTTAGACAAGGTTGTACTTGTTCATTTAAAAAACCAAAACCCCAACAACCTCTTCTGAGGTTACAGAAGTGTATCTTTATAGTAGATTCCTATGTCCTGCAAGATACAATATTAATTCCAAAGGTAAACTGGGGGGGTCTTCCTTAGATGAAGAGTTGGTCATAGTGTGATGCTCTAGATCTTTTTCTTCCTTTTCTTTGCTGCTGGTCTTGCTTGAAGTGTTGGTGGGCAACCTTAGGTCCCATTAACTTGAATGGCAGTTGTGGCTTCCCAGCACCTGTGATACTGGGCTTCAGCATGTTTTTAAGATTCCTCCAAGCTGATACATAGGTCATGTATGCTTTTATGTCAAGCACTTGAGGTTTGCTTTTGTAGCCATTCACTTCCTCCAGTTTATGGAGTTACAAGGAGGCACTTAGAGTTAAGCTCTGTGTGTACATGCATTCGAGGATGGAGACCCAAATTTGCCCATTTGTTCCTATCCTCTCTCCCCTTTCCCTGCCCTCAGTGGAGGATGGGGAAAAAAAGCCTTTCCTGGTCATTCCTTGTAGGAATGAGCATCATCTGGGGAAGCTTGTTCCTGTGTGGGAGGAAAGGAATCTCCTTTGGGAGTCTGAAAGCTGTGTCAGGCTCACTCCATTTACACTGGTTAACAAAAAAAAGTGCCAGTAACCTGGCTTTGGCACAGATTGAGTTGCTGTAATCTCTGAAGAGGTGGCCTTCTGCCAAACAAGAGGCCATACTTAGGCTTGCTTGAGGAGTCCTGCTTACTAGGGAGAAACACGAGGGTTGTAAGAAGTGCTTGTGTTTAGGCTCATCTTATTGGTAGAGAGGAAGGAGCACAGTTTTCATGAGAGGAACTCTTACTCCTCATGGTAAATCACTGGGGGCAGTGGTCCCCCTTGTCCCCTGCCCTGTGAGCAGTGTGCTGCAAGCATTACCCTCTTCTGCTCTTCCTCTTAGCCTTGGTTTTAACTTTCTATTTCCCATGGCTGTAGGAAGCGCTGGGTCTCAAACCGCAGGCTGAGGAACTGCTGTATAAATGGCCCAAATTGAAGAGAAAGGCCAACTGCCCACATGGGGAAATAGCCTGGTTAGCTGGGGCTTAGCCAGACTTCAGTTTTGCCAGTGTAGCCTGAAATCATTGCAGGGACACAGATTTGGGAATCACCGTTACCAATATGCGAATGTATTAGCTTGTGTTTAAAGTCCTTGTAGGTTTCTCTCCAGTAGCTGGCAAAACTTATTCTTGCCTTCTTTCTTTAATAGTCCTTCTTTTCGGAAGTCACGGATGTCAAGGGCTCAAAGCTTTCCTGATAATAGACAGGAGTTCTCAGGTATGTCAGTGTCCAGTATAAAGATGATATGATCTAGACGTTTTCTGCTGTTTGCTGGCTACCCTGTATGTTTGCTGGGATTATATACATAGAAGAGCTGGGGATATGTTAATTGAAAAGCAATGAAGTCATTACTCACCTCTTCCTTAAAAAAAATGCTGTTAAAGGAAAATTGTGTCATTAGAAGTTGTACTTTTTGAAGGAGCCTCACTTCTGTCTTTGCATCTCCTTCCAGACCGTGAGAATCAGATCTATGACAAAGCGGGGAAAGGTGGGACCTACCCTCGGCGCTACAATGTCTCCATGCAGCACAAGGACTACAACGATGGTGAGTTGTCTTCAGGCCTTTGGTTCCAGGCTTGGAAAAGAAGGTGAGACATTGGCAACCTCCAGGGAGGAGTGTAACTCCTAGTTAAAGAGTCTGGAAGTGCCCTGGTCCTTGCAGCTAATGCTGGAGTTAATGCTGGCATGTGTAATGCCACATTTTCATAGCAAGCAAGACCACTGTAATTCTTTGTTTACTTTGCCCTTTCTGGGGATATCCAAGCCAGTCAGTGACCACTAGAGTTGGGCAGTGGATACAGTTGTTAGCCTTGGTCATGTATAGTGAGTTCCTGCCTCAGGGATTCGATACGCTTTGCTAATTCACATTGCAAACGTGCTGCTGGGTCTTTTAAATGTACCAGTGGCTTAAAGAATCACATCACTGCTCATCAGATGGCTTTATGCAAATGAATTTCTGAAAATTTTGTTTGTTGATGGTTTTTAGTTGCGAGTTCAGGCACGTTATCTAGAAAGCCACTCTGTCTTTGTTGTTGTTAACAAGACTCAGAGCTTGTGTGGTAGCCTGAAAACCAGATTTAAACAGATGTAAACAATCCAAAGCTGTACTGAACTCAGGCAGCCTCAGCCCTGAACTGCTGTGTTTTTTCTATGATGAAAGGCTGGGAGAGTTGGGGTGTTCAGCCTGGAGAAGAGAAGGCTCTGGGGAGACCTTATTGCAGCCTTCCAGTGCCTGAAGGGGCTACAAGGAAGCTGGGGGGGACTTTTTACAAGGGCCTGTAGTGACAGGACAAGGGGTAACGGGTTTAAATGGAAAGTGGGGAGGTTTAGATTGGATATCAGGAAGAAGTTCTTCCTGGAGAGGGTGGGGAGGCACTGGGACAGGTTGCCCAGAGAAGCTGTGGATGCCCCATCCCTGGAAGTGTCCAAGGCCAGGCTGGATGAGGCTTTGAGCAACCTGGTCTAGTGGAAGGTGTCCCTGCCCATGGCAGGGGGGTTGGAACTGGATGATCTTTAAGGTCCCTTCCCACCCCAACCATTCTATGATTCTGTAATTCCATGATTCTACTCCCCAGGAACAGACCAGAACGCATCTTTTCTCTCTCCCTTCTCTACATTGCTCAGCCTCCAGCCATTACCTTCCACTTGTAAGCATGTTACCTAATGACTTTACTTTTTTTCTCCAGGCCGGAGGACATTTCCCCGGATACGGCGACACCAAGGGAATCTTTTCACCTTGGTCCCTTCAAGTCGTTCCTTAAGCACCAACGGAGAAAACCTGGGCCTGGCGTTGCAGTACCTGGACCCCCGGGGCCGCCTGCGGAGTGCCGACAGCGAAAATGCCCTTGGTGTGCAGGAGAGGAACATTCCCACCAAATGTAAGCAGTCACCCTGGTGACAGCGGGGAAAAGGCCTCCTGTGGTTGTGGGCAAGAAAGACTCCCAGAGATGAACTCCAGACCGAATACATTACCATAGCTTGATTTTAACCAGCCATTCAAAACCACAGAATGTCATGGCTGTGTTTTGAGACCAGTCTGCCTCACCTCTAAGACAGGTCTTCTTTTTCTTCTAAGAGTATGTAGTCTTGCACTGGGAGCTGGCCTTTCCTTTAGAAAGCACTGGAAATTCAGCTAAGAAGTAAAAAAACCTGTAAGTTGATTGGATCTAGATGATCTAGAGGGTTCTTAAAGCAGTCAGACAAGCTTGTTTATTGATACATTAACATTTGTTGTCAGGCTTGTGGATTACAGTTATTTTACTAGTTAAGGGCTGTATTTATTTCACTTGCTCCTTAGTAGAAAGATTTAACAGCATCCCTGCATTGGTTTTTGGGGAACTTCATATTACAAAAAAAGAAGTGGATCATAAATCATTACTGACGAACTTCAAATATCTTGTACAGTAATTTAAAGATCAAAATGAAGACATTAATGCAGCAGAGTAAGCAACATGCTAAAACATCGACTGGCAGTAAATCTGATTAAACTAGACATGTCAGAGCTGATCTCTCAGCTCTTGTGTATTTTCACACTGTCCAGATGGCTGGTTCCTCTCTTTGTTTTTAGAGTTTCTTGTTAGATGCAACCTAATTGGATGCATCGCACTGCATGAGTCTGGTAGTGTCATGTTTAACATCAGAGCTAAAGCACTGGCCTTTGAGTAGAATGTTTTGGTGTTAAGTGCAGTCTGGAAAGCTGGGCTCAGGTGTCTGTCTCTGGGTCAGGAGACTGCTGCGCCTGCAGTGTGGTCACCGGTGAGGTGGGACAATGA